GCATGTTATACTTAACTACACTCACTGAGGTTTCTTTTTCTGTTGAGGCTGCTACAGCAGTACAAAAAAGGAATTAGCAGAGTTATCCTTAGACATGCTAAGAGGAATGAGAAAAATCAACTTATGTAGATTAAATAAATGTTGGGAAGGGGTACAATGGTGGAAACATTGTGATAACAACAACAAATATGAGGACAACTGTTTGCATTTAAACAATGAAAATTCTATTTAAAAAATGAATGAAGTATAAGTTGTAGTCATATATTTCTGTTGAACAAGAGCAACCACCTCAGAAGTACCAGACCAGATGAAGTTGCAATATTCAATGCATGAATGAATGTAAGAATTATATGTAAGCTAGATACTGGCAAGAGAAAAAAAAAAAGTCTAGCACAATAAACACAGACAATTGTCTAGACACCGTAAACTGACTTTCCTAGCAGTAGACTGAGAAATTGATTCAGTTTAGTCTTTCCACTTCATGTCAGCAGAAAACATTAGCCTGAGAAAGCACAATGAATATGACTGTATGAAAAATAGGAGATGATTATTAAAGGACAATTTCATTTGGTACCAATTTGTAGAAATACTATGGAGTATGATATAATTTGTTGACCAAAAGTAATCTCCGTTGTATATTTTCACCCCTTATATAATACTCTCGATAATATAATAATCAAGTTCTCCAGAAAATGACTTCTTATCATTGAATTCTCTTTGACCTTGTCAAATAAAAATTTACTATTGCCATATCACCTTGAAAAAAACGGTTCCCATCCAATCACCTAAATTAAGCAACATCGAGCATGGAGGGTGAAATGGTTAAAATAAAAAAAGATTAGAGGTCTTTAGATTTGTGTAATAAGCTTTTGAGTAAAATTCTGTCAAAATGGAAGTTCTTTTGGGACATCCCATAATTTTAAAATGCCAGATCCTTTCAGGATGTAGGGTATCAAAGATATGCAAATTATTTATGAATTTCTACATTATTAATATATAATAATTCTTTATGTTACAAGTTTATTCTATCGCACTTCTTGTTTGTGGAACTTTCTTCTGGCTTCTTGCTTTCCGGTCAACTTTGATCTTTAAAAATCTAAATGAAATCTCAATTGTACATTATTTACATTATTCAGACTATTGTCCTCATCTTTGCTGCCATATTTATTACAATGTTTCAGTTGTTGTACACTCCGGCCTTCTTCAGGTGGTTGGAATGTCGAACTGAACCCTTTATTTCGCTCACTGGGGTAGACTGTTCTAGCTCCATGTGTCTCTTAAGAGTGCGAGTTCAATACCTGGTTAAGGCAGTGGAGAACTTTCAGAGGGAAATTAACAGGAGATAACTGATAACTGACATCCATTAAACATGGCACGTGGAACTAGAACAGTCTACCCCAGTGAGCGAAATAAAGGGTTCAGTTCGACATTCCAACCACCTGAAGAAGGTCGGAGTGTATAATGGCTGAAATGTTGTAATAAATATGTCAACAAAGATGAGGACAATAGTCTGAATAATGTAAATAATGTACATAATACCTCATCTTAGTAATATAGACACGAATCTCAATTGTCATCTTCAGTTTCCCTAATCTTTTTTATTTTAATCATTTCACCCTCAAGTAAGGCAACAGTGTCACTAAGACACACATTAAGGAGTGAGAACAATAAAAGAACAGAAATTAAGACAGAAGGTGATGACTGACATTGCATAAAAATTTTTGATGATCAAACTGTATTTGTCTAGTTTCTTGACTGAGAAAAATACAAGTGTTATATAGCGCTCCCATTTCCAGACCCACACTGACTATTGGCTAATACCTGACCAGTATCATCCGTATGCAAATAGTCACCTACTTTAATTCGAAGGTCTTCTCTCAACAGCCCATTGTGGAAGGGGCTGTAAGCACCATATATAATCAACTCAGAGTCTTTTATCAGGTTGACCCAATTCTCCGTTATACAAACTTGACTGGAAAGCAAGTAGTCAGCAGAGAGTTCCTCAATTGAGATGTGCGAGAAAAGAAACTGTTAGCACAGGACTTACAGTTCCATCTAGCCATTTCTACTGTAAACTTATGAGATCTTTCTGCCATTCTAGTAATGCACTTAAATTCATAGTCTGTTTTTTTTTGTCTTCACTCCTTAAGGTTTTTGTTTCAGATTCTTACATGCTCAGTAACCCTTTGCATCTTAGTGGCTTTATTGCCTTGTTAGGGGTGAAATGAAATAAAATAAAAATATGAGCAATAGTTGGCTGTGGTCATGAAATAAGCTTTGGAATAAAAACCTGATAAATATACACTCTCAAATACAATCTTTTATATACTGTGTCCCTGTGGGATCAGGCAATCATGTCTCCTTATGACTATCCTTTAAAGCTCTTAGTAATTTTTTTTTCCATTATGTTTCCCACTTTATGATGTGCCATCCATTTACACAAGCTCATTTAGTACATTACTCAATATTTCTCTCTTCTTTTCAATATGTCAGGAGAGTATTAATCTTTCCCAGCCTTCTTTCCATATTATGTGTCCTAGAAATTTAAATTTATTTTCAGCATAACAGTCCCGTTTCCATTTTTGTTAAAACTTCTTCATTAATTACATGTTCCATCCATGGTATTCTCAACATCCTTCTGTAAAGCCATATATCTGTGACTTAAAGTCTCCTCTTCATCTGCGAGGAAACTGTCCAGCACTCACTGCCATATAGAATAATTGGTATTACATAGTAAGGAACCATTGTTTTCTTTGTTGCTAACAAACATTTTCCTGTTTCTTAAGTTCTTTTTAATCATTTTATGCCAAGCAAGGCAGGGATGCCACTTGTACATAGAGGTTCACGGAGAGTGAAAGCAAGAGAAAAGACTTGGCATAGGGAGGATTGAGGAAAGGATAAAAGATGAACGTGATTCAAGAAGATAGTGATTGATGTTGCATTTAAATTTTTGAAGCAAGTAAACAGAAAGGAGTTCCACAGGCCTGAAGTGTGAGAAAAAACTGTTAAAGAAGAAGTAGCAGTTGCTTTTAGCTATTTCAACAGCAAAATGGGTGAGACCTAGTTGCTAATCTAGTAGCATGCTTACATTCGTGTAGCTGGAGCATCAAGGAAGAAAAAACGTTTTTCTTCCTTGATTTTGCAGTAATGAAATTAGTAAGCTTGTTAATAGATGGAAGGAAGTCATAGATAATCAGGGAAAATACATTGTTGATTGAATCTGTAATTAAATGTAACATTTGGTCACTTGTTTTCTTTATTCAAAATTCGGACAGAACTTATGGGATGACCTGATAAAGGATGTTGAAAAGTGGGAGGGAAATTTTAAATATATAGATAGAATGTACAATGTTTGCAGCTGATCAAAAACATGACAATTTCATAAAAGTGTTTTTACAGACATTTTACAAAATAATAGGAATATTTACAATTAAGAAGTGTATTTATTATAAGAACAAATGTTGTATGAAAATGAAAAACATCATGGATAGGATATAGATGGCAATTGAACGTGACAGCTGTTTCTGACAGACAGAAGGTAATCGAGATGCGAGAAGATGAAAAATAAAATATTTCAGTTGATTTTTTTTTTTTAATTCCTGTATGAATTTCTGGAATTTTGAGTTATCTACACTATTTAAATGCAGACTATTATCCTCATCTTTGTTGTTATCTAGCTATTACTTAACTGACTTTGTTAATGCTAGGTGATTTTTATTTATATTTCTGGTCTGAAGAGTTATTATCTACATTATTTAGATGCAGACTATCATCCTCATCTTTGTTGTTATCTAGCTATTACTTAACTGACTTTGTTAATGCTAGGTGATTTTTATTTATATTTCTGGTCTGAAGAGTTATTATCTACATTATTTAGATGCAGACTATCATCCTCATCTGTGTTGTTATCTAGCTATTACTTAACTGACTTTGTTAATGCTAGGTGATTTTTATTTATATTTCTGGTCTGAAGAGTTATTATCTACATTATTTAGATGCAGACTATCATCCTCATCTGTGTTGTTATCTAGCTATTACTTAACTGACTTTGTTAATGCTAGGTGATTTTTATTTATATTTCTGGTCTGAAGAGTTATTATCTACATTATTTAGATGCAGACTATCATCCTCATCTGTGTTGTTATCTAGCTATTACTTAACTGACTTTGTTAATGCTAGGTGATTTTTATTTATATTTCTGGTCTGAAGAGTTATTATCTACATTATTTAGATGCAGACTATCATCCTCATCTGTGTTGTTATCTAGCTATTACTTAACTGACTTTGTTAATGCTAGGTGATTTTTATTTATATTTCTGGTCTGAAGAGTTATTATCTACATTATTTAGATGCAGACTATCATCCTCATCTGTGTTGTTATCTAGCTATTACTTAACTGACTTTGTTAATGCTAGGTGATTTTTTATTTATATTTCTGGTCTGAAGAGTTATTATCTACATTATTTAGATGCAGACTATCATCCTCATCTGTGTTGTTATCTAGCTATTACTTAACTGACTTTGTTAATGCTAGGTGATTTTTATTTATATTTCTGGTCTGAAGAGTTATTATCTACATTATTTAGATGCAGACTATCATCCTCATCTGTGTTGTTATCTAGTTATTACTTAACTGACTTTGTTAATGCTAGGTGATTTTTATTTATATTTCTGGTCTGAAGAGTTATTATCTACATTATTTAGATGCAGACTATCATCCTCATCTTTGTTGTTATCATAGCGTTTTGTCTATTGTGCCTTCCCAATTTCACCAGATTTAGGTTCTGGAATGTGATCACCATCCCAGTAAATTAAATAAAAGTTTCAGTTCCAAACTCTGTATATTACCCAGATCATCTTACAGTTTATAAAGACTGGAAGGTACGATAACAGAAATGTAGATGACAACAACAAAGATGAGGATAATATTCCACATGTAAATAATGATTTAAAAAAAGAAATTATTTACTTTTAAAGCATACTTTAACAATTCAAGGATTACAGCCATATCATGTTGAAACATTGATTCTCATACAATCACCAAAGTTAAGCAACGTTAAACCTGATCAGTACTTAGATGGGCAACCACTTGGGAATTCCAGGTGCCGTAAGCTTTGATGTGCATGCGGTGCAATGGATAATGGCTTGAAATTGGAGAGCTGGGTTCAGTTCCAATTTCTGTCAGATTTGTAATATTCACTTATGTTGTAACTTAGGGAAGTTTGCTGAATAGAATAATCAGATGAATGTTGGTAATGAACAATAATACTTAGGACAAGAACAACACATATAAGATTCACCAGCAGTGCATAGAGGTAGTAGTCAACGGTTAGAACTCAATCAAATGAATTCCCTAATGAATCTCCAACTGCAAACCAACATACAGTATTTACTACTGTATTTGTGTGAATGGAGACACCCATTATCGTCTGTAGGTATGCTACAACAAATTAAGTACGAGTGAATAACCTTGAGAATGATATGAATCCACTCCTTCCTCCAGTTACAGCTTAATCGGTAGGACTTATATTAGTAAATCGATATTTTCTTAAAAAAATCTTAAAATTTAAAAATATTTTCCAACTTTAAATACCCTGCAAAAGGTTGATAAGCAATAACAAAAAAAAAAAAAAACCAATCAATCACTTTACAGTTCAATATGAATGACAATTTTAAGTGGCCGACATTATTTTCTTCTGTATATTTCTTGCTTCACCTGATTTTTGTTGAATCATTTTGTGACCATGTCATAGCTAAACAGTTAAAGAATGCAAATAATGATAATAATGACCCACTAATTCCTATTAGTAGGTAGATGAAAATAAATACACAATAAATAAATGCAGTGCCTACTAAAATCTACTAAAAATAACATTTAAGTAATAAAAATCTGTTGGATTAATAAATAAAAAAATCCACTGCTTTCTTTAAAAATTGCTTTGTTAGGAAGAGAAACTAATCAGATATGTCTGTTTGAAGAAACATTGCAAGGCACTATTCAACTTTGCTTGGTCATTGTTGCACTCTGTAGTGGAGAGGTCAAAGCAGGTCAGATCTAATGATGATTTCCCCTAGAGGAACACAGGTTTGAGTCCCACAAGAGAGCACACACATTTTTTCCTGAATATTCAAGAATATATTGTTTAATAAATAAATGGAACATCTAATCAAATATGAGTATCCACTTAAAGGTAACATCTAACTAATGAAAATCTGCTTGATTAACAAATAAAAAATCCACCCCCCTCTCTCTCTATATATATATATATATATATATATATATATATATAGTGGACAGAGCAATTGCTGGAGCACCCCTCTATGAAACTAAGTTGGAATACTGAATCATGTAAGTGACAAACTTCTTATTTGTATCAATTATATTATATACACACACACACACACACACACACACACTCACTCACTCATCGAATTCAACGTATGAGGGTCAAGCAGATTAGTTTCTAGAAAACCAACAGTCTGACAACAGCACATGAGATTTGATTATAGAGGGGAAGGTTTCGTGCAGGACCATCCCACACGTTTTGAAGGGCCAAATACAGAGACATGGGGCACTACATGCCACAGGATCCCCAAACGAACCTCCCCAGGTTTTGAATTCAGAGTTGTTGTTCTCCTAGACCAGTTGCCATACAAGGCTGTCCTGCTATTTTACCCATAGCTGGAGGAAGAAGAAGAGGAGGATTCATACTTTTCCCAAGGGTATTAGCATGTAAGTGAATGTAATGGATACAACTTGAATTTAAACTCAGCTCGCTGATTCCTCAATCCAAGCCGCTATCCATTACTCCACCATGCTTCCTCTCCGTGCATATATATATATATATATATATATATTGTAAAATATATCTATTGGATGCTCTGGTACAGCTCATCAGTAATATTTCTAGCCGAAATATATATATATATATATATATATATATATATATATATATATATATATATATATGTGTGTGTGTGAAAAGTGTGTATATATATATATGTGTGTGTGTGTGTGTGTGTGTGTGTGTGAAAAGTGTGTGTGTGTATATATATATATATATAATTATTTACATATTACATGCACGTTACTTATTAGAAAGTGCTCAATATCAGACATAGAGCTAACATATTTGGTTGGATTGATGTGAGTTTGTGACCCTAGGTTTCACACATTTGCGATCGTCAGACAAACTGATTAATTTTTTTTTTAAATTTTGGGTTTATGTAGATTGTTTGTATTGGTGTTATTATGGGAGGGGAATCGTCATCGTGCTAACGCAAACATAGATGCATGTCCGTACATCAGATAAAGTATGCAGACACACATACACACTTGCTCATCTGCCGGAACTCATACAAATATAGACATATGTGGACAGTCTGTATATGGGTGGTTTTGTGTCTATACATACACATTTGTATGTTGAAATTCAAAGATTGGAAGTGTAGCGTGAATGTCTCGTGAATGTTTAAATGTCAGCAATCATAGAATTTTTCTATTTTTTCGCTGAATAATATTTCCTTGCATGCACGTATATATGTGTGGTGGGGTCTGTGTAATATTATGATAGGTAAAAATAGGTAATGACTTTATATGTAACTGGTAGAAATTTCAGTTTGTAATCCTTATTGGTTATTTTTATGGTGGTATTATATATGCTCGGGGAGGGGGGTAGTTTACGTTAATAATTATAGCGGGTTTATATGATAATAGTAGATGTGATGTAGTAGTAATGTAGTAAGGGGTTTGGTGACAATGATAATATTATATGTAGCTAATAGTTATTGTAAATTGGTAGAAGTAATTAGTAATGGTGGTGGGAGAAAGATAAAAACAATAAATGTAATTATTGTGGTGCTAGCTTGAACTAAAAAGTGATTGTTGGTGTTTTATTTTATTTTGTTATATATATTAATTTATTTTGGTATAAATCCTGATAATAGGTATTCTGTGTAAAATTATGATTGTTGAAAAATTGCTATAATTTTTATTTTTAATTTTTTGACAAAAATTATTTATTATTTTAAAGCTGGTTATTTGCTTGTTTTTGATGACTGTGTATATGTGACTGGTAGAAATTTCAGTTTGTAACCCTTCTTGGTTATTTTTTATGGTGGTGTCACATATGCTGGGGGAGGGGGGAGTTTACGTTAATAATTATGACGTGTTTATATGATAATAGTAGATGCGATGTGATAGTAATGTGTAAGGGGGTTGGTGACAATGATAATATAAGTGGCTAATAGTTATTGTAAATTGGTAGTAGTGATTAGTAATGGTTATAGGCGAATAATAAAAACAACAAATGTAATTATTGCGGTGCTAGCTTGAACTAAAAAGTGATTGTTGGTGTTTTATATATACACTACACACATAGGGTGCGATGTGTAAATTGTCGCCATTTTATATTTTTAATTTAGCACATCTGCATTGTTTGTTTTTGATTTTGTCAACTACACAGTATAGTAAGGTCAGTTAGACACCGTCTGTGAGAAAACGACCAATAATCACACAAAAGTTGATAAGGAACGATAATACTTAGGAGATGAACAACACATAAGATTTACCAGTGGTGTGTAGAAGAAGTAGTCCAACTGCAGACCAACATACAGTATGTACTACTGGAAATATGTGAATGAGGACATACCCATTATCGTCTGTAGGTATGCTACTATATATATATATATATATATATATAAAAATATGAACATTGAAGTCAACACTTAGAGGCAACAGGCTGTTTCATGATAGATGCAAATGTCTGGCAGCCTGACGATTGTGTCTAGCATGAAACAGCCTCTGAGCGTTGACTTCAATTTTCACTTTTATATTTACTTATGCTCTATCTCTGATATTGAGCACTTTATCCCATAAATATAGCATACCTTAAAACTATATTTCTTTATATATATATATATATATATATATATATATATATACACACACACACACACACACACACACACACACACACACACATATAGTGCTGCATGAAGGTAAGTGTACCCATAAGACAATATTAAAAAATTGTCTCTTTCTCCAGATAATGAATATATAGTTTAAGATTTGATTAAGAAAATCCTTTATAAAACAAATTACAATCACTAAACTTTTTTTTATCAAGCTGAAATAAAAAATATTAATTGAAAATTCAAAATTAAAATGTGCAAAATTAGTGAACCTTCACATTTACATACTGTATTTTTGTTTTACATGGTTGTCAGTGCAAATAATTTTTTTGCACATGTGTAAATATCAAAAAGACAAGTGTTCCATTTTTTTTGGTATGCTGGGTATACTGCCATGATAACGCATTGTATATGCAAAAAATAGTGCAGTTCGAGACTAAATTTATAATATAAATATGCCAAAATCAAAAGAACTTCCTGGAGTTTTAAAAATACGCCTAGTTAAAGCCTGTAATGATGAAAAAGGCTACAAAAAGCAGTCAGAACAATTTGGAGAGTACTGTGACAAATTATTTATAAATGGAAGGCCTTTGGTATGATAGCATCATAATCAATAATGTGGCTATCTGTGAAAAATAATTGCAAGTAGACATCTAGTTCGGCAAGCCTAGGCCAATCTTGTTGTGACCCCTGCAGTTCTCCAAAGCTCCCTGGGTAATATCAGAATCAACATGTGTATGTCTACAATGGGACAAAATTTGAACAATGCCAGTCTTCATGACAGAATGCCTAGAAAAAAAAGGCCACTGTTTATGACAAAAGCACAAATAAGTTCAGCTCAATTGTACCAAATGTCATTAATAAGATAAAAACGTTCTGGCAAAAGGTTTTATGATCGAATGAGACCAAACTAGGTGTTAAGTCTGACAAGCTCTTAATGTCTTTTGAAGGGAAGAATTTGGTGCCAACAGTTAAACATGCTAGCAGTACCATTATGATTTGAGAGTACTTTAATGCAGCTGGAACAGGAAAAACAGTATGCATTGAGGGCATAATGTACTCTGAAAGATACCAAGTGATTTTAAACAAAACATGTCTTGTCTTTGGTTGGAAAGTTTGTTTTAGGTTTGAGCTGGATCATGCAAAAGGACAATGATCTGAAACATCAAAGCAAATTCACAAAAGAATAGGTTCAAAAA